GATAAAATCAAAAATTTGCAACAGAAGTTCTTTCAATCCATTTTTTATAAGTAAGTACATTAATTATAAATTATTACATATCATAATAACGTTTTCATTTATTTTTTTTGTCATTTGGTATACGTGTATTTTGGAAAACTATTCCTGCCTTAGTCATGACACATATCAACGTAGAAATGTTATGTTAATGGGTTCTTTGGCCTACGTGCTATTTTCAAATTCCATTTTGCATTGTGCATTATCAGTCTACATTGTTAAAACATCTTACAAGTATCAATTTTGTAATAATCATTTTCATTTATCAATAAATTTTATAAAAAATAAGTATCTTATCGTTGACGTTATATATTATTTTTTTCATTCTGCCTATCAAGATTCCCATAAATCAATAATGATTTTGTGTGGTTCAATCAAACTTTTTAATTATTTTAGATTGAATACATGTAGGCAGGCACTTATTAACATTTTATTTTTTTAAATTGCACAGAAACGTCAGAAATTAATACAAAGCACGTTTCAAAATAATGTTTATTCATGTATTGTATTCAAAAAATCTGATGCATACGTTTTCAAATTTTTATTAAAAAAATAATTTAAAGACTTTTCTTGATTTAGCAATAAAAATATTTTAACGTACAATTTGTCGGTTAGGATATCTTAAATAACGACTGCCTAATCACATTTAAACTGTAAATGTTGCTTAAAACGGTTTTACAACTATAACTATAAACTACAATTAATAGCCTGCACCTTAAACCTATGTAATGTAATAATTAAATGAAAGTAAAATGAAAAAAACATCCGTTACTATACAAATAATGATTTCTAATTTTCTGCTTTGTTTGAATATAAATAAAAACCTGTTCCTGTTAACAGAAAATAAAAATGTTGAAAATAATTATCAATGAAAAGTGATGCTTCAACATTTTATTGCGTTCTGGAAACGATTAATTCATTAAATATCAATATGATTAGTTTTGAATAAATAATTTTTTTTGTTACAGAATTCTGAGATATACTACACAGCCAGCTCACTTCGTAACAGCTATATCTGTGCTTTTTATCGCATTTTTAATGGTCCCAGGAAACAAACAGTACAAAGTGTCCCCGATTTGGAGTCTAATCTATTTAGGATCGTTCAGCGCTCATTTTGGAACTCAAATTTGGATGACATTCGTATCTGGATTGGCTTTGTTCTTCTCTTTATCTAGACATACTTTCGGTAGCGTCCAGCAAGTATTGTTTCCAAAATACTTCCTTTTGAATGCTACCCTTAGTTTCATAACATTATTTGTTTTTATGAAGATGAATAACAGCGTATTGATGGATTCAATCGACAATATAGTACAGGTAAATAAAAATAATAAAACTATAATGAAAATATATAATGCTTGGCATTCTATATTATACAGTTTAACAGACCCCCTTAACCCCTCGAATATTTCAAGTAGCTATCGTTTTTTGAGGATTTTTTCCATTTTTTCAACTCCCCTTAACCCCGCCCCATTTTTATCCAGGTTTTTTTTCAGATCAATAGGCTTCACCCCTTATAGAGTATGATTTTTACTTAAAATTTTGTGTTGGTATAGCTTTTCGTTTTTGATTTCTAATTTTTCTTTTAATATTTCAACCCCCATTAATCCTCATTTTTATTCAGATTTTTTTTTTCAGAATTAATAGCTTCATCGCCTTATAAAGCTTGATTTTTACAACATAATAATGTTGATATCGCTTTTTTTTAGATTTATGATTTTTAAATTTTTTACCAACCCTCTTTTTATTCATAGGCTTCGTCCCCTTATAGAATTTGATTTTTCCTAAAGATTTCAAGTTTATATTGTTTTTCGTTTTGGATTTGTTTTTTTTTTTTAATTTCAACTCCTCTTAACCCCCCATTTTTAATCAGATTTTTTCAAAATCAATAGACTTAGTTCCCTTGTAAAGCTTGATTTTTCTGAAAATTTGAAGTTGATATCATTTTTCATTTTTGACTTATCGTGCGGACAAAAAACGTGACACCGGACGGACATTTTTAAAAGTTGTTTAAAACTGATGAGACGGATTTTGATTTTTTTTTAAATTTTGGTTAATAATCTTATTCATTATACTCTTCACACAGTAGATTTATTTTTGGGAAACCAAAATTTTTATATTGATACAAATTTAAAAATTTAAATACCAAGCTCCTTCTCATCTAAACAATTTTTAAAAATGTCCGTCTGTCCGTCCGTCCGATGTCACGTTTTTTGTACCCACGATAAGTCAAAAACAAAAAATGATATCAACTTGAAATTTTTAGTAAAAATTAAGCTCTGTAAGGGGAAAGAGCCTATGAATGGATATGGGGCTAAGGGGGACTGAAATTAAAAAAAAAAGATAAATCAAAAACGAAAAGCGTTATCGACATAAACTTTTTAGTAAACAATCAAGCTCTATAAGTGGATAGAGCCTGTTGTTAATTCTAAAAAAAAATATATATCAACTTGACATTTTTAACTGAAATATAGCTCTATCAAAGGCAATATAGCCAACTGATTCTGAAAAAAATCTGAATAAAAATGAGGGGTTTAGAAGTTTGTGTTGATTTCAAAATATTTCATCATATTAACGGCGTTTTAAAACTTAATAATTTAATATGTTGATGCAGTTGATTATGACTGCACTTCATGTAAGCAAAAGAATAAAATCTTGTCTTGAAATTGTAATATACCTACATACCTTTTTTTCTGTTACAGGCTGTCTCAATAGGATTGTGTTTCATGTTAGAACTCGTAGTCCTTTTATATTTCACGCCCCCCCTTTTATACCTTATTAATATTAAACAGAAGATTGAAAAGGAAGCCGGAGTTGGACTGGAAGTTGGAAAATATAATCTTGGACCATTAAAAGACTGCCCATACTATTTAAAAATCCACAGAGGGTTTAGAAGAATTCACATGACCATTGCAATTTTAAATTTATTAACAATGGCTTGCACAACGTTGCATTTATATTATTTATCACATAAATTGTGCGATATTTAAAACAATTATGTAGTTAGTTTTTTAAATACTCGAATAATAGGTTATTTATTTATTTTATTGTACAGTTTCAGTATTATTAAATTTTTGTATTTAAAAATTATTATTTTATGTGTATCATTGTAAGTAAAGTTGTTCAAAAAGCGAGAAACAATAGTTTTATTTCAAACAAACCATGACATGGTTTTATAGATTCCAGTAGTTATATGAACATCTAAAATTACATCATCCTTTGCAATTATAGTTTTACATTGAATTTAGAAATAAAATATAAATGAATACGTAGAGCTTTGTTATATTTAAAAAGTATATAACGAAGATTGTGTATCGATTGAATGATAAAACAAAAATGATAAAATATTAGTGGCGTAGCATTTTTACTTTACTTAGTGTGGGGATGAGGGGGGGGGGGGCGAAATTAAAAATTGTATAAATATTATTTGTTAATGGTGAGTGTATGCCTGTTATAAAAATGTATAATTATATTTTACCTAAATAATTATCAGTGGCGCACTCAATATTTTTTTTACTAGCGGGGTAGTCAGTTTTTATTGTTGTATATATAGGAGACAAAATTAGTTCAAAAGTATTTTATTGACATATTGTAGAAGTATTTATTAGAACACGCTCGCATCTGAAACGAGCGAACAAAAGAACGCATGCTTACCTGCTAGCTTGCTCAGACGGCCAATTTTCAGGTATCAGGTAATCAAGGTACATAAAAACATTACTTACCTCACGTAAATTCTCCAGCTGATTTTTACGTATATTTTAGGCAATATCTTTAAAAATAAGTCGCCAATACCACAGCTTATACAATACAGCTAAAACACTCTCTTGGCGGCAACGGTTTGCGTCGATTTCGTCGCGCATCGCTTAAGCTCCGCCTTCGGAGGGAAAAGATGGTTTTGGCGTTCAGAAGCGTACTTAGGTAAGGTGTTGAGTCGTGCGTATAATTTCGTTGATTGTATAATTTCGTGGAGCCTATAATTTCGTTGATTTTGTTTGAGTTAAAGGTACTGTTATTATTTTGGTGACTCTTTAGCTGTGAGTAGAATGAGTAAAAAAAAAGACATCATTCTGTTTGTGCAGTCAAAAGCTGTTTTAATAAGGGTTATACCTGCAAGAAAACATTCTTTAGTTTTCCCAAGGACCCAAACCGATAAGTAACACATTATAAGAAATTTTCATTGTTAAAAATATAATTTATACAGGGTGTCCCATTAGTGCGTTATTGTTCATTATTTTGTTGTAGACACGCAAAAAAGTTTTAAATAAAAGTTATATGGATTTGAAAAATACCTACATATTTTAAAAATATCTTTGGATATACAGGGTGTCACGTTTTTGCCTGGCAAATTAAAATGTATGTTTTTTAAATGGAACACCTTGTATTTTATTTTATGATGAAATTATTAACACCCTAAATTATTGTAAAGACGAGTTGCTACAGAAAAAATTTAACAGGTATGTGTGTGGTTACCTTTTAATAAAAGCCTTGCGGATCCACTCCTGTGATACCTGTCTTAAATATAACAAAGATCACGTTGAATTAGATGATTTTTCTTTTTATTGCTTTTTAAAGGCATATGATAACGCCAATTCAGATACATTTGGAAATCTGCAACTGTCAAATGATGAATTTGTAGAACTAATATTCAATATTGAAAAGATATTTCAAAATAATTTTGAAGAATTGGCTACAAAAAATAACATTTGTACCACACTTTTAGAATTAATTAACCCAATACCCTTTAGTTATCCATGCTAACGTTTTCCAAAAGAATAACCTATTTTAATGTATGTTTAATCTCAATAACTAAAAAATATACTGACAATTAGTTTGACAGAATTGTCATTTATTTAAAATTTTAAAAATAATAGCAGTCGGTTGATCAAAATATGAACGGTGATTGGAGAATTTTTTTTGCAGTGTTCTCACTACCTAGAATGGATATGAAATATATTTGTTCAATTGAAGGCAATAGCATACTTTTTCGTTTTGTAATCTGTGCATGGATATTAGCCAATCTATGCACATGCTACAAAACGAAAAAGTATGCTATTGCGTTCAACTACAAATATATTTCATATCCATTTTAGGTAGTGAGAACACTTTAACAAAATTAAATCTACATATCACGTTCATATTTTGGTCGCCCAACTCCTATTATTTAAAAATTTTTAAATAAGTGACAATTCTGTTAAACTAATTGTCAATATATATTTTAGTTATTGATATTAAATATACAGTAAAATTTTTGTGTAGACTCGATAAATAATAGCATTTTTGTTTTTATTGTGTCCACATTTAAAAAAAAAATTTTTAATCGAACTACATGATACTAATTTAATTACGAGTATTAAAATTAAAGTCCTGAAAGTTTCGGTGAAGATGAGGACAGAGCATCTGCCTTCTACGCGAAAAGCCCGGGATCGAATCTAGGCCGAGGACTAATTAATTTTTCATGTTTATTTTATTTTATTTTATAAATTAGTCAACTTCGTAAATTATTTTAAAATTAGTTATTTTGTCTAAATAACCTAAAATATTTTTTTAAATTTGTAGATTTTCGTTAGTGGGTCGTAGAAAAAATATACTGACCATATCGAGTGGATTGTTCATATCACAATCAGACGATTGAGTACTCCGCCTACGACGTCGTGCTCAAACTTCGTCTTTGTGTGATATGGCTATCATATCCACCCTTGTTGAACTAACTACTATTCATTTGTTTTCTTGGTTTAAGTTTTACATCAGAAATAGGAACTAAATTAATTTACTTTTCAAGTTTTCTTGTAAAAATCGATATTACTTTCTCCAAGTACAAATTTAGTACCTACCTAAAATAAGTACTACTTATGTAATTTCGTGTAATATTGTAATTCAAATTTCACATTACTATACAGTTTCAAAATTCCCTACTTCGGTATGGTCAGATAAAAATTGAATATATTACGAGTATATTAATAAAAACTGTCAAAGTATTACTTCTACAAATCTGTATTTCAATTAATAAGAATACATCTAAATATAACCAATATTGTTAAAATAAAAGCACAAATTCTTTATAATTCCAAAATACCATAGAGTTCCCAGACCTTAGTCGAATCATTCGTTTATCTAGGTATAAACCCTTTGCGCGAAGAGTAACACTTGCCAGACACACGGGTTACCACTTGATTTGCATCCACAAGCGTGACAAAATTCTTTAACAATTGAAGCCCTTGGTGTAAAAAGGATCCAAGCCACAATTTGTCGTGAAGTGACTGTTTTAGCTCAAAACATTTGTTAACGCGGATTTTACTAGCCACATACAAATTATTTTACCTCTAAAAGATGTGCTATTTTTCGTAATATTTATATTTAAATAATTTTTTTAATTATATTTGACAGATTTAAAACAAATTAAAAATTTAATTTCCCAAAACTTACTTAATATGGCATGTAACCAACCTTATTATACCAAGGTTTTCAATTTTTTCAATAATAAAAAAATTGTTTAATCCGGGCCCGACTTTTCCCTCGAATCTAACAGAGATAGCACCATTCCGTCTTGCTTGGTTCTCGACCGCCAGATCAAAGACGCCGACACGGAGTTGTGGAGCTGTATTGTATAAGCTGTGCCAATACTACCAGACACTTTCCGTCGGCCGTATTGCTTTGCAGACGCTTTAAAGCTCCCAAAATAATGACTTGACTTTACATGCATATTTTTTTTTAGTTATTTAACTTTTTCAAAAATAATTTGTGCTCAGTGGTAGAGTCTCTGCCTGTGGATCCAAGGGTCCCAGGTTCGAATCCCACCGTTGGCCGGAATTTTTTCATTTAATTTAATTATTTAAAATTAATTCTGATGCCTTGGTAGGATTCCCCACTCGACCATTCACTGTTGGGTTCTAATTAACAGTGCTGTTCCTAAAGTGGCGCTGGGAAACAGTAACAAAGCCTACACAGAACACGAGGCGAAATAACCTTAGCAGTTGAAGCCGATGACACACAAAAAATTTTTTGATTAAAATTTAATAAAAATAGCATATTGTAAAAATTTTTTTGTTAGTCCGTAAGAAAATTGGGATTTATAGGAATAATAAAGTCTAGCTATTTCTTGCTGTACGAAAATAACAGGATACATAGAAACAAACGGAAAATGGAAAATCTGGAGCGGAAATGCTAAACACTAAAAATAGAAAACCCATGTTATTTTTATGCTATTTTAATATTCAATCTTTGGTCAAATGTTTCTCATTTTCAGAATATGCGGGTCAAACATTAACTATTATTGTCTTATTTTTAGTGTGGTTTCACCCTGAGCCACTTAAACGAAAAAATAGATTTTTACTAATTCTTTAAAATGTTTTCACTCGATTTCTATTACAAGGATTGGCAGTGACCTCTAATCAAATGTTATTAAAAACGGTCACTTATAAAAACAGATAACTTCGTATGGTGTAGGTTACTAACTGTTTTTCATCAATATTTACAATATAACTGAAAGATGGCAGCACTGAACATTTTAAATATATGTTACCATTGTGCCATTGTAATTTATTAAAGCATTGGATATTTAAATGGTAAAATAGAATAGAACCATGTGAAACTTGTCTGAAGTGGTTTTGCAATAACCGTGAAAATTAATTACATTTTACTAACTTTTTTACAATAAAAAACGTTATTAAGTTAAATAATCGTAAATCTTTAGGTGAAAACATTTATTATAAAGCTCAATTAATTTAAAGAATACCTACCTTCTAAATGTAGTGAACCGACCATGGTGGTCTTTACACAATACTATAGGGAGGGAAAAAATTTTGAAAAAATTAAGAATGTTTATTTGTTGGAAAACAAAGAAAATGAAAAATAAAAGAGAATTTTCTTATGATGGATTTAATTATTCTGTGACGTCATGGCTTACTACCGGTTTTTCCAGAAATAACAGAAACACGCAATTTATTTTTAAATGAAAATCCTTTTTCTTATTGAAAATTTGAATTTCTGGAAGATTTTTGTATAAGAAGCGTGTATTGAAAATTTTCTGTCAGTAACATATTAAAATAAATATTTTCCAATATGATGGTCATTTTGACAGCTGACAGCAAATTTTCAACACATAATTCTTATCCATAAATGTCCCTAAAATTCAAATTTT